GGATGAGAGAAAAGCGATAGGTACGATGAACATAATTTTTAAGTTATAATAATTTTTTCAGCGATTGACGATGTGTTAGTGTATCGTGCACGACGTATTTTCCGCATTATGTGTGTATGGTTAGGCTGTGGAATTGCGTCGTTAATTTATTATATTTGAAATAATTAAAATAATAATCATAAATATTCTACTACTTGTAATTAGTTCAATTTAATTACAATTTATACATTAATGATATTATATCTATATATTATCAATCTTATTATTAAAATAATAATTAATAACATTTTATATATACAATAATTTCATTTTTTTTAAAATATATATACTCTTTCAAATATAAATATTTACCAATAACAAAAATTAACATAGATACGATTTTTTATCATATTTTACGCAATGATCGCTAGCCATCGTCAGTCGATTTCAGGAAAATGGTACGTACAGTTAGAGTGTGAACGTAGTGTGCCAAGCTCGGGTGTCGGAGGCGTCCCGGGACGTTTCCCTAGTTTAGGCTTTTGCGCCCGAGTATTATGCGTGAGAATCATGGAATGAATGTGTTGGTATGCCTGTTTTGCTATTTTTTTAAATATAGAACTAGGTAGGATAGGTAGTATACTTCTGGTGTGTCTGTTAATTATAAGTAGGTAGGGCCGGGCAGATTGTCACAGTCTCTGATCGGGTAGGCGCGTTTTCGCGTGGCAATCTGTTTCAGGGAATAAAATTTGAAAAATCGAAGGTGAAACTAAGACGATATGGCTTGTATTTGAGTTTCTTCATCGATTTTTTGAATTTTGCGATGCGCTCGAGAATATACGTATGTATAGATAACGATCATTGATCGTTTATATATATTTAGATTACGCGATTTGGTTTTTTTTTTTATTTGCGATTAGTGAATCTCGAGCCTAGATATAAGTTTCAGCGGGTATTGCGCCCGAAGAAAGAAGAGGCTATGAGCCGAAGAGGCCCGGCAAATCGCCATAGAAGAGGGCAACTACCAATGGTCTCTCATTTTTTGGATTCTCTTTGAATTCAAAGAATGGGAAATCATTTTTGTTACTACTTTGTCATTGTGCTCATTTTAGTAATATGTAGTAGTAGTATGTAGTAGTAGTTATTTTTTTTTATTACATTAGGCCGATGCATGCTGGCCTAATTTGCATGCCATCTAGATCCAGTTATCATTTTATCCAGTGGGCATTTCGCGATTTTGTATTAGTGTTGCGAATTATAAAATATCGGTTTTTTTTATTATAATTTTTTATAAATTAGCATTAAAATTTACGTTATTTATTATTAAAGTCTTTATTTTCAATTAATTGTATTAGCTATTTAATAGTACAGAAATAATAGTTTTTGAATTGAATTCTTTTCTTTTTAAAAGTTAGTGTCGTGATTCTACCGCGATTTTTCTTGTTATTTTTTTATTTAGTGTTGCGTTAAAAAATAATCGCGTTTATTCAAGTAGTGTTGCGAAATACTGAATGCCCAAATTCAACTTCCACTAGAATTGTGGATACTATTTATGTTCCTGCATCACCTGATAGACGATACAAAGGTAATTCTTTTTTCAACGAGATAAATATTTTATTTATAATGCTAATTAATTTTTAATTGATAAAAAAATTTTAAAATTCCAAAAACAATCAATTATATATGCAAAATAAATATTGTCATTGAATATTATTGAATTTTATTATTAATATTTAAATTTGAGTGCATAAAGTAATGTAAATTATTATAATTAATATTGTAAATAAAACATTTATCTTGTTGATTTAAAAATTTTTTATTTTATAAGAAATATTAATTTATTACTGTGATACAAAATAAATATTTTATTCACGGTTCGTTATTTAGTCTTATATTGCATGGAAAATATTTTCATTTTAATGGTTTTCCGGTTATATAATATGACTCGTTGTAGAGATTATTATAGAATTGATTCGAGAAAACTTAGGCAATATTTTCAGATTTCTGCTAGATAGAAAATCGATTTATTGGTATCGATTAGGTGGTATCTTAGATTCTTAAATTTCTGTCAGTTATTAAAACAACATTTAACTTTTTTACAGATAGAAATTATAAAGAATTGTAGATTCAAATCAAATTAGTCTGAGTTTGTTTCAATAGTTTTTAAGAATCAATTAATGAAAGAAATATAATATTTGAAGATAGAATATATTTTTTAAAGATTGCAAAATCCATTTTTTTAAATATTTTTAGATATTTGTCTAAAAATTACATTATTATATAAAATGATTTAAATAATAAGAAATTTTTGATATTTATCTAAAAATAATTTATTAGATTAATAGAATTCTAGATGGCGTAAGAATACTCATCTTCTTCAAAATCGGTATTACAGAATTCTTTGCAACTGTAGATAACTACAAATAGTAGTGCAAATCTATTTATCGATCAAAACAGTATTACGCGGGAAAACTTTTTTTATTTAAATTTACTTAATTTTTTACTTTTGTTTTTGCAATCAAGATTTAAAAAAGAAAATATCTAGTGTTTAAATATATGTAATGATTCAGTTAGGTTTATATTGTGTATTGTGTGTATGATAATTGCATAAAAATGTTTTTTTATTAATTTCTTATTTATTTTCAATCTCTTTAACAATTTAATTGAAATATACATTATATCATTTGTATCATTTTTTTTATATTATTTGCCAGGTTTCCAATGATTTTTCAGCTAGACTTTTTATATTGAAATTATAAAGCGAGTCAATAATTAAATTATAATAATTTTAGGATCGTGACATATAACAAAATCATATATTTTTTATCTTCTTTATTATCATACGCTTTCGTTGTTATAATTATGATAGAGCAAGATTACATGTACTCTACAAGTTAGTTTTGATAAGAAATAAGGACGTAAAACGCTCGCTGTCCTTCCATTTTCGTAAAAACTGGAAGACTTAGAGGTGTATCGAAAACTATCGGTTAATCGGTAATACAACGTACGAAATATACAAAGCAGGCTCCATTTATCGGTACCCGCTTATCTACCGTCTTACGACTATATGTCTGACGTTTAAGATTAATATTGTATTTCGAACTTTATACGAAGAACTCGTTTACATCGCGACTTCGTTGCAGTATGACGCCACGAGGTCGCACTGCAAGCGGTTTAAGGCGATTTAAGTACTATTAATGATTTTGGCACTTAGATTTACCATTGCGCTAATTATAAAATGGTATTTCTTATTTTCTCAATAAGGAAATGCACCTCTTTTCATTATATATATATACGTGTATTTGTGTGTGTATCTGTGTATGTGTGTCATTAATTTCGTAACATTGTAGTTGATTTTTTATATTTTCGCGCCACGATCATTTCATTCGGTATACAAATATTCTGCGCATGCGCAAAATTCAATTCAAATGTATATCTTTTTTCTTCTTTTCTTATAAACGACAATTTTGATTAAAATTTTTTCCAAATTATTTCACTTACAATTTTATCAGAGGTATATAAAAGCTATAATTTAGATATAAAATTTATACGTATACGTAGCGATTATCCGTGAGAATTTTATTTATATCAAATTTTACCCGTTTTAATGAGAATTCATTATTACAAATACGGTAATCATATTCGATTCTAATACTTGTAATATATTTCTTGCGTTTGTGTATTCAATAATGTTATCCTAAACTCTAAAAAAATTTGACTGCACTATACTTTTCCTCTCTACTTTGGCATATCGACCGAAACAAAAATATCGCCTAACGCTTACAGGCTCTCGTTCAGTATGACGATTGAACTCTCGAAATGAACGAATAGTGCACGTTAAATTACCGTTTCTTTTTTTTTTTTTTTATATATATCTTTTATAAAGACTCGATTTTCCCTTAGATTGTTGATTGTTATCCTAAATCGACGCTACGAAAAATTGGCAGTATTTGAAATTTGCATAAAATACTATCTCTTTTTTTTTTCTCTCTTTTTCTCTCATCCGAGTAAGGCAAATTGTCAGGCTATCGTACGTGAAGTATTGCTTTAGCAAATCGCTTTAGCTCGGTAAAGCGATGCAAAACTGCTAACGTTACGACGCTGTGGTACCCGTTTATTGTTCATTTCGTGTATTACGTTAAATTAAAAC